TGGAGTGTTTCACCAAGAATGTGAAATACTACAGAAAAGGGGAGAAAGCGTGCATTTAGAGGAATTCGTTGGTCAGCAAAAGGCAAATTAAAGGTCTGAGCTGGGGTGAATTTGTAAAAGAGGAGAAAGTTGAGTGGATGTAAATGCTCAGTAGTCATAGGTATGTTAGAAGCATAGGACAGTTATTTGGAGGACATGGGAAACATGCAAGGAGCAACTGTAGGTCATAGGACACTGACAAAAAACAAGTTTGTCTTTTTGGACTGGGAGCATCTGTCATGCAGGGGGAGGCAGAGAAGTAGGAATGCAAGTGCTTGAAGGGGAAAGGGAAGTGCAGGAGAAGAAAGATCCTTCTGTGGGTAAGTTGGAGTATTAGAGTGGTTTGTTTTGCAGGAGTAAGCAGCACAGAAGTGGGTAGTTCCACCTGCTTAAGGAGAAGAATGAGGATGAGAAAAAGGAAGGTTTATACAACGGGGAAATTACAGAGAAAAAAAGAGGGATGAGTGTTTAGGAGCTTAAAAACAATAGCAGAGGATTTGTGGAACTGTTTGGTGCTGCTGAAATACAAGGAAAGAGAGGTGAGTTCTTTTGGGACATGGAACAACCCACAGAGACAGGATATAAAGAGTGTCTGTGGGACCATGGTGGTGGCAGACATTTGCAAGTTGATTGAGGGCTAAGCATTTGGAAGTCATGTGCTAGCAGAGAAAAGGGATACAGACAGTCTGGGAAACGTAGAGACACATTTCTGAGGGTTCCAACTGTGAGATCAGATTAATTTGGAGGATCTGAGAACCCCTGAGAAAGGTTAAAGTGTAGTGAGACTGGGGAAATGGAAAGAAGTACTGGAAGAAAGGGAAGAATGGGCCAACCCCTCCAGGAAGGACGAAAACTAAACACAGGATGGTTGAGAAAGCAGGGAACACAAGGACAGAGAGCTGTGGGCAGGCATACCCTGCTATCTGCTGAAAACTTGTTCCATAAAAGTGTGACAGTCACAATTTGACAGATACCAAAACTATTTTTTCCCATAAGAATTAAGGTAATAGAGGACATGCATGGAAGTACAATACAAGTGTGTCTAGAGAAGCTAGAAAACGAGAAAACCACTGCTTCAGAAAATACGCAATACATTTAGAAGAACTAAACTCTGCGTGCTGGAGTACTTAGAGAAGCTGGACAGATAGGTGCAAGGTTTGTCTGCACAGATTGAGGTCAAACCTAGAAAGAATTTGAGGAAAGGGTTACCAGGCTTTTGGGGCAGGTTCAACAAAATCTAAGGGGTGGAGATGTGCTACATCAAGAAATGAAAAGGGCAGCAGTGCTGTTGATGAAAGGACAGAGGGGAACCACAGAGATCAGGAATACACCAGAGGGATGGCTGTGTTCAGTCTTGCAGTTCTTCATACTTACCAATGCGCAGTATTTAAAGGGGTCTTGTGAGCACAAAAGAGGAAAGTGCCTTCAGCTTCCAAGTACATACTTAAAGGCAATGAACTAAAAAAAGCTTAGTATCTAGAGATTATAGCAAATTTATTTAAAAAAATAGTACAAGGGCTTTTGGTAAAGAAGCCTGGCAGGAGAGAACATGAAAAGAAAGAGTCATTTTGGCCTCTGCAAGAATCATTTAGTGGGTCTATGCACTGAAGGAAATGATGTTATGGGACTGTTCATATTAGAAACCTGGGGAGCAAATAAGGGTGTTCTGAATAAGTCTATCTCTGGCAAAAAATAGGTCAAAGATTATCAGAAGTATGGAGGCTGAAGTGCAACTTTATTTTGGCCTGTAAACAGGGGAAGTTTTGTGAAGGGACCCAGTTACTTCTTCCAAGAGGAAGCATTGTAGGTAACCTGGAAGAAACACTGGGCTGAACTCATGTATCCAACAGACACAGCTGAGCTTCCTGTTTTGTAAAACCTATATCTCTCTCTGTTACATCTCTCAGAGTAATGATTTGCTTAGAGGTCAGAACAAAGATAAAACCTCTGTACTTCCCCATTATTGCCTCTCTTCACCAAGTTAAGGCTTCCAACCCCAGTGGATACGTCAGAGCAGGGACCTCTGTCACTTCACAGGGAAGCTAGGTCCATTAAACAAGTGCTGATGCTGCATTCCTACTCTGAAGAAAAATCTTTTGTCTTCCCCAGCATCATTCAGTTACTCTCCAGCTGAGACAAGAAAACAAACCCCCCCACTGATGAAAGCATGCAGCCTACTTTGATCAGTGCATAGAAACCTCAGGAAAGGCCAGAGCAAGGTGTAGGGCATCTAGAAACATGAAGGGTTAAGACATAGCCATTTAAGAGCAGTATAGTTGAGGCTTTTCCTGCACCAAATCTGAAGGTGTCAGGATGAAGCAGTTGATATGGGAGCTGCATGTTTAAATGCAGCTTGAATTTCTAATTAGACATATGAAGAACTACTCTGCCAAAGCCTTGGCCTTGCTTTTAGTACACATTTAAAACCATGTTTCATCCAGGATAAGACTCTGCAGGAGCAGCAGTGCTGATGCTTTAAAGGATAGCACCTCAGAAGGCAAGTTCCCAGCAGAGCATGGTACACCTACCTTTTTTTTTTCATGCAACTCCTTTTGCAAACTTGCACATGACTCGAGTTGGGCACAACTCTGGGGCAACTTTCAGCAGCATGTTCAGCCCCAGCTCTGTGCTCCAGAGCAGCTGGCCAGCTTTGGAGAGTGAGCATTCAAGTCCCTAGGTTTGGCTAGGAACTTAAGACACTATGTAGTCAACGGTCTGGAAACACATCTGTTCCAAGAAAAAGTTTTTCCTACCCCCCTACATGAACAAGGCTGAGAACTAGCAGGAGGACAACACACAACTTGGCAGGAATTGTAGCATGACTAGTTCATTCAGGTTGTGCAGGCCTGATCTGTGCTGAAGTTTAGACTGTACATGTTGCTTTAATCCACCAGCCAGTCCAGACACCCTCCTTTCCCTGGAAGACTTTCATCTTTGAAAGAATTAGCCTAGCTGTACTGCTCCAAAATTCACCATTGACCATACATTGTTCTGGTATGATTTTGGTGATGTTTAAGACTGGACAAAGATTGGTCATAAGGGAACCACAAGCCACAGGGAGTACTGTTTTTACAACCTAAAGTTTGTAACAGCGGGGGAGATATAAGGGCACAAGTACCTCATTTTAAAAAAGTCTGCACTGGACAAAGCTCCATCATCACTTTTTAATGAGTTCCAAGTGTACAGTCAAGCAAAACAAGGGGGTGCTTACCTTTATTCCAGCCATGCTCCAAGATAGATACACTGTGAACAGCATCCTACTCTTGGGGGTCATTTGGATCGTGAACACATGTCCCAACACCAGTGGAGAATTGTTTTCTGGGTTTAAGGACCTGAGGATAGGTTATTGAAACCCAAAGGCAGCACAGCCCAAAGAACTAGAGCTACCAGCAACACACCCTCCCATGCAGGGGACTACCTCCCTATACACTACACAGTGGCTGGACATTTGGTGGATAAAAGTAGAGTTGGACTGGGCAGCCTCTTCCCCCAGAGCTGCTGGTCCATACATCTTGTTACAGACTTACCACGTAGTCCAGCACATGGTTCCAGTACAACTGGAACTACCATCATTGCAATGGAAGACCACCCACCGCTTTGAGGGCCAGAACTTCAGGTGTGTGTATGGAAGTGAACAAAAAACCCCCAGATGTTCCAAAAACAGTTTGGTATCCAACCCCTCCCCACCCACTGACAGACCAGACAGACTCAGTAAGGTGGTGAATTGTGTTTCTTAGAGACCATTTAAAGTACATGAGCTGATTACTATAACATGCCAGAGGAGATTACAGTTGTGTTTATAGAGGAAGGAAATAAACTGCACGTGCGTGAGTGGCTGTAATGCTGTGGACAGCAGAGCCCCTTGCTTTTACTCAAAGGGCCTTGGTGATTTTTTTTTGCCCATGCATAGAGACACAAAGGAGGGGAAAGGGAGCAGAAGAAGAGGCAACATACAACATCTAAGAGAAAGAAATGGAAGAGACAGCCTAGGGGGGACCTCAGCCCCCAGAGGAACAGGAGGAATGGGGCACCAAAGGCTTGTTTAGAAGAGTTCAAGAGAATTGCTGGTCTGGGGGCCTCAAGCTTGTATGCCCACCCCCTAAAATGATAGCAGTAAGTAGTACAAGCAGGCCCTGGCTCCTCTTCAGTAGATGCACTTCTGACCGTCCATCACATCTCAGTTCCACAGGGAATTAGGGAAGTGCTCAGGGGACGAGGGCTGCTTCACTCCAGATCTTCATCTCTGCCCTCACCCAAGGTGGAGAGGGATGGAATTGCAGGGAGATGAACTCAGCGCAAATGAAATGCTGGGGCATGGAAGTGAGCATGCAAAACCTAGCCCCTTCCCAGATGCTCTGTGAGGAGGAAAGGGGCTTCCCCAGCACACCCAATGAAAGAAAAAACATCTGCTCCTCCCATCTTTTGTACTTCACTCCCATCTGGGAACTCCAGTGATGGTCTCCCCTACCTCCCGGCATCATCTTAAGCCTAGACAGATCCCAGTGTATTCTAGAACCGAGGTAGAGCTTCCTACATTAGAGTGCCCTCTTTCCAGTCTAGATTACAGGCTACAGCTCAGCTTGTAAAAAGAGACAAGATGCACATTCCTCAGAAGACTCTGCAGAAACTCAGGAAAGGGGCAGCTCGTTTAACCCCAGGTTTGACAACACATTTGAGCAATTCAGGGCTCGTTATTTTTGGAGAACCAGGAGATCGCTTACAGAAAGCCACAGCATTCCATGCTGCAAGTTTACTTCCAGCAGAGACCATCTTGGATCTAAATTCAAGAGAACCCATAGCAAGTAGGAGGATTTCAGTTTGATAGGCAGGATCTCTAGAGATCTAAGCTGCCAAACTGGGACATCTGATGTCGCTTTGCAATACCCATGCCCAGAGCAGCATTTCCCTTTGAATCCCTAGCTAA